TGGACAGATGTCTTCATCTGCTCGTGGACAGCTCTGTACCATTTAACCATAGCTCTGACTGCTCTAATATCAGTCCATTCAAAAGGCTAATAAAGAGTAAATCAAGGAAACAAGTAAATAAAAATGTGGATGAGTCTTACTGATTAAATTATATGTTCCAAAATAATAATAATAATAAGCCTAAACTGGATAAAGCAATGAGGGCAGGAGAAACTAATTAAAAAATAAACAAATGGAACAACATCAAAATAAAAATCTTTTGCACAGCAAAAGAAACTATCAGCAAAATGTAAAGGGAACCCATTCTCTGGGAGAACGTATTTGCCAATGATACATGTGATAAGGTGTTAATTTCCAAAAATATATAAAGAACACATACAACTCAACAAAAGGAAGAAAAACAATTTAATTAAAAAATGGGCAAAGGTCCTAAATAGACACCCCTCCAAATAGGACATACCGATGGTCAAGAGACATATGAAAAAATGCTCCAAGTCACTAATCAGAGAGATGCAAATTAAAACAACAATGAGGTATTACCTGCCAGATGACTGCCATCAACAATCGACAAATGACAAGTGCTGGCGAGGGTGTGGAGAAAAGGAGACTCTAGTGCACTGCTGGTGGGAATGCAGACTGGAGCAGCCACTGTGGAAAACAGTTTGGAGTTTCCTCAAATTTTAAAAATGAAACTGTAATATCACCCAGTGATCCCACTTCTAGGAATATATCCTAAGAAACCTGAAATATCAGTCAGAAAGAATATAGGTACCCCTATGTTCATAGCAGCACTATTTACAATAGCTAACATCTGGAAACAGCCCAAGTGCCCGTCAGTAGATAAGTGGATTTAAAAAACAACAACTGTGGTACATTTACACAATGGAATACAGTGCAGCGGTATAAAAGAAGGATGCCTTACCCTTTCAGACAGAGGGCATGAAGGGATCTGGGGAGTATTATGCTAAGTGAAATAAGCCAGTCAGAGAAAGGCAATTATCACATGATCTTCACTTATATGTGGAATCTAATGCACAAAATAAACTGACAAATAAAATAGATCCAGAGACATGAAAGCAGGAAACAGACTGATGAATCTCAGAAGGAAGAAGGGTAGGGGAGCAGAAAGAGATTAATCGAAGAGCTTATATACATACATGCATAACCATGGACACACGCAATAGTGTAGTGAGGGCCTGGTTGGGGGGGCTTGTGGGAGCAGGGTAGAGGGGCCAATCAATGGGGGAAAAGAAAGGAGACATCTTTAATACTTTCAAAAATAAAGATAAATTAAATAATAATAATAATAATAATAATAGTAATAATAAAATCCTATAGGAGAAGGTTGTTTTGTCCAGATTCTCCAGATGTATAAAAAGTTCAGATACCAGGTGGCCAAAATGAACTCAGACTGTTTGACTTTTATGCTATGATTTATTGCCTAGAATCATTTATTAAAGGTTGTGTGATTTTATTCAAGGTCAAGAATATGGTATACATTATCCCCGAAAGACTGTGGTTCCATCGTGAAAGGCTTAAAATATCCGTGACATGAGGAACTTCCAAATACCCTTGACATATAAACAGAGTTACTGGGTAGACTTGCTATCTAACATTTAAGTTAAAGCCACTGGATTTATCGTTAGAATTAGGTCTTCGATTTTTAATTTACATAGTTGAAGATTCTCACCTATTTATACATGACTAGAGAGTGAACAGCTTCCAAGTCTTCTATTTGGAAAATAAAAATTCTCAGAATTGAATGGGCACTCTCTCATGGAAAAAAAAAAAAATCCTATATTCTTTCTCTCTGCACTATTAATACATTTGTGCTGCTAGGAGGGTAATGCATTCCACAAGAAAGACATCAGCCAGGAGGGGAAAGAGCAGTTATAACTGGGCTTTATCTATTTTAAAATCAACTACAAAAAATAGTGCCTAAAATACCAGCAATCCAGCTCCCAACTGTCCTTTCCAAGTAATAGACATAATATTCTGACCCCATGACTAATGCCCAGGGCCTGTCTTCAACTGGATCCCTACTACTGGGATTTCAATTCTGGTGGATGGTTCATAAAGCAAATCTCCCCCAGGGCGTGAACCTTGTAGCATCTCTGAACCCGTCAGTCCCTTTGCGATCCCAAAAGATATTCTTGGAGAATTTATTTCAAGTGTTTGTAGATACCACAAAAAGGCAATTAATAAGCTTTCCTGCCCAACCATTTTGGTGTGTAAGCAGATACATTCTCCTTTACACATGATTTGCACAAATTGTTTGGTGACATTTGATCAATTATAGGAAGAAAGAAAGTTGAAGGGAAAATTTACAAAAGTCAATATGCTCATTGCCTATTTATTTGCAAACTATCCACCAATGCTTGTCAAATTAGAAATTCTGAAATTTTACCATGGTAGGATGAAAATTTGGTTTCCTCAATCTGAAGAGTAGAAATACTGCCTAATTTATACAAAGTTTTTTTCAATAATCCACTGAATAGTGTGTGTCTAGACATTTAAGATATACAGAAATGGGAGGGCTCACCCATCAACCCAAGAAGGCGGACCATAGTTTGGCAATAGAAATACAGTTCTCAGCAATAAATATGAGATGTTCTCCCCGCTTTAAAATAAAAAATAAAAAAAAGTGTAATAAAATGATTGGAAATTAAAAAAAAAAAATTTAAATGCAACAGAGAGTTTGCAAGTTAATGTCATGATAAATGTTTTCATAAATAAATATTTAAACATATGGATCTGTTACAAGTGATTAGGCTTCCATATAACAAGGCAACAAAATGTAGCTGATGGATTCTGAAACCAAACTACCAGAGTTCAAATCCTGACTTCAGTTCCCAAACACACGACTCAGCAAATTAAATTTCTCTAGGCTTCTGTGTCTTTTGTAAAATGGGGATAGTAACAGTCCATAACCCAAGATGATGTTTGAGGATAGAACAGTGTCTGGCAGTAAGGGCTATATGTGTTAGAAGGTAAGTAAATAAAATATTTAATATGTCTCTGAAAGTATGTAATTGATACTTTCCGGGGAACTCTTAGTTGAGATATAATTCACTTTTTAAAATAAAAATATGAAACATTTCATTTCTTATATTTCTCCATGGTAACAAATTTTTGCTACTGGATAATCCTATGAGCATATAGGAGAGAAAAAAATACAAAAACTCTTGAGGCAAATATTTAAATATTTAGTAAAAGGAAAAATATCTAGTCATTTAAAGCAGAAAGTCAGCAAGGCAAAGTAGAATTTCCATAGGACGTCTTTTTTAAATTTAGAGCAATGTAATATAAATCCTCAGAATTAAAAAAGGTGATTGTAGCCACAAATATCATGTAAATACTATGACCCCAAAAGCCCTTGTGCTAACACATAAGCTAATTGAGATAGACTCATATTGGTACATATGAAGATTTATCAATGAAACTAGAAGCTGCTTTACTTTGACTTCAAAGAACAACTATTGTAAAAAACAATGTTTTTGAACAACCAACATGTCTTTTAAAAATATACATGAAAAGGGCCCTGGCCAGTTTTTCTCAGTGGTTAGAGAGTCTGCCTGCAGACCAGAGAGTCGTGGGTTCAATTCCAGTCAAGGGCACGTACCTCAGTTGCAATTCCGTCTCTGGTTCTGGTCGGGATCACACGGAAGGCAACCAATTGATGTGCCCCTCTCACATCGATGTCTTTCTCTCTCTCCCCCTCCCACTCTATCTGTAAATAAATGAAAAAATATCCTCGGGTAAAGATTTAAAAAATAATAAAATAAAATATACAGGAAAAGTATTTGGAAAGGCAGTGAAATTTTTAATAGCAACTACATCTACAGATGAGTAGGGTGATGCCTTTGGGAAATTTTCTTTTTAGCTTACACATTACTGTGTGTTTTTTTTCCAAACGTGTATTATTTTATAGTATAAAATGTTTTAAAGTGTTAATTGCAAAAGTTAGTGATGCATACTGATATTTGGTTCCTCATAGTTTCCTTTCTTCAAAAATCACAAAAGTACAGTGACAGAAAGCTCTGGCTATGCCTAAGTGGAAAGTAAATTTATCTCTCCCCAGGAGATCCGCAGTGGTGGATTACGCCTATCCTTAGTCACTTCTAGGTCTTGAACCTCTAGAAAAATATAGCTGGCATTGCAGAGAAGCACCAATACTATTCCCCCTCAAATAGGACATTAAATTAACCAAGGGTTTGTTAGGACAAAGGAATAAATAGAAGCTAATTCTCTTTGAACAGAGAACAGCATTTTCCCCGCAAAGAGATCCAACATTAGTAAACACTTCTCGTCATTTTGTCAGCAATGGAAATAGATCTAAGTCCCTCCCCAGCTATCCCCCAAATTAGCCGGCCACTCCTTCCAACGGTAATCTTCACAATATTTCTATTTAGGGTCATGTGTTGCCTTCCTTGGTATATGAAGCAACCTAAATTCAAGGAGGCAAGAAGAGAATGAATAACCAATAAATACACATCGCGTGCCCAGAGCTATGCCATGCATATCTGAGGTGTTCTTTCCTTTCATCAAAGGCTGATATTGTTCTCACTTCTTATGAGCATACTGAGGTTCTGAGACGTCGTCTGTCCAGGACCCCACAGCCAGTGATACAGCTGAGTAGCCCAGCTCCGGAACACTTACCACACACCACACAGCCTTCAGTGGATCCCAACAGCTGCCAGATCATTTGATGATCAGGCTTCAAAGACTTTGAATGACAACATAAAAAATAAGCCCTTACATTCATTCAGCATTTTATAAGTTTTCACACGCTCATCTCAGCAAGTCACAGAAACATGAGCATGGTATTAAAATCCACACAAAAGAGACTTTAATGATTTTTATTCTCTGACCAGTCAACTGTTATTGATCCATGATAAACACGTTTCTTACTGCGAAAGAATTCTGAAAAGTAATCGAGAAACTTGAGCTAAAGATCTCATTTTCTTCTTTCCTTCCTACAACCTTCCCTGGATTTGCAGGAAAATGGACAAAGAAAGTACGGTGGCCCTCCACCTGGCTGGGATGCTGCACCCCCAGAAAGGGGCTGTGAGATTTTTATTGGAAAACTTCCCCGAGACCTTTTTGAGGATGAACTTATACCATTATGTGAAAAAGTGAGTCCAAATTTAAATGTTCTTATCTTTCAAGGGAAAAGTACCACTTTTGATACTTTGTTTCTAAATCCCAATTAAAGGGAGAATAAAAAATTAACAGTTATTTTCAATAATTTACCAAGTGCTGTTTAAGCAATCACATTTCTTGAAAATTCAGCTAAAATGAGAATTTAGCTATTTCTTTCCATAAATGCCAAAATCAATTGTGGGGGCAGGAGATGTGCATGTGCATGTATGTGCTTGTGTGTGTGTGTGTGTGTGTGTGTGTGTGTGTGTGTGTGTGTAACTTAGCCTCAGATTCAGAGCTGCTCCTAATTTTATGCATACAATACCCCTTGGCCTGTGGGCAAATTTTGAGGACTTAATCCTATAAAAACCTTATATACTGAACTTTAAAATGAGCACCAAGAAACACCTGAAACACGGAGGTGAAACCTGCTTGAACACCTCCCAGTGAGTCCAGAAGAAACAGGTGTCCCTCACTGGGTACCATGGGGTGGGATTGGGTCGGATGAGACCGAGATGAGAGGTAACAACCACTGTGGTAAGAGCATGTGCTTGATGATACCTCTTCCTCCCACACATGCCCCCCATATCTATTTGGGCCACTCTCCTTACAGCAGCCAGCAATAACGAATTGTTGAGCCTATATTTTTGGAGAATATTTAGAGTATCCGGAGGCAGCAGTAGACAGAAAGAGCAGAGCAGCTACAGCCAGCGGCATAGTGAGTAGCCTCCGACGGTGGTCCTGGTCCTGGGTCAGTTGGATGAAGCCAGCATTTGCCTTCGGCCTACAGATTGTAAAAATAACAGGGCGCCCCAGATTATCCTCTGAAACACACCTTCTGTATTCCTTTTGATGTCATGTGAGGAAAAAAAAAAGACAACTAAGAAGGTTTAGCGAGGTTCCAAATTAGTGTTCCTGGTTTTTCTTTTAAATATCAGTGGGAGAGTATTACCGAGTAAAGTAAAACTGAAGAGACGTCAGAGGCTAATGGAGAGGGCAAAATCTATCAAGACATTATTTCTGATGACAAATGTGTTTTCAGGTCCCCGGGACAGTGTATAAATCCCCAGAGAGTTGTGTGATGGGAAATGTCATTTGTTCTGTCAAAAACATGTTCTGTTAACTCGGCCACTTGTACACTTTTTAAAAAAAGTTTAACTTGACTTTGCGCATGAGTCAGATAATAGATCTGAACCCAGCATAAAAATATGCAACCCATTCTACCTGGGATGCAAATGTCAAATATGGCAGTGACAGACTTCAGAAAAGTGTGTGTGTGTGTGTGTTCATTTTGAATAATAAATGCATAAATATGAATTTCTATTTTTCTATTACTTATAGATTGGTAAGATTTATGAAATGAGAATGATGATGGATTTTAATGGCAACAATAGAGGATATGCCTTTGTAACATTCTCAAATAAACAGGAAGCCAAGAATGCAATCAAGCAACTTAACAATTATGAAATTCGGTAAGATCCACCTCTTCTAGATAAAAAGGGAATCAGACAATGCACTTGTATCTGTTCTTCTATCAGGTTTATCTAATACAGGATATGCAAAAGATAGCAAAACCAGAAACAAAAAAGGTTATTTTCCTTGGGGAAATGAATTTAATGAAATATTTGCTTAATATCAACATTATATAAGGAACAAAATAAGTTCTGTGACATGTTCAAAGAAACAAAACTTACAAATTTATCTATTCAGAAACATGTGCTGGACCGTGCTTAAAATATTAGAAATATAGCAAGGTATATTTTCCTCACGGTAAGCAAATGAATGTGTAAGATTATTTAAAAGAGTATGAAAAAATAATACCAGGAAATGGGATAAAGTTGTGGGAGGAGGTGGCTACTCTGACCTGATGTAGTTAAGAAAATACTCTCTGGGGAAAGTAAAATTTCACCTGAGATTTGAGTGAAAGGAGTCAGCCTGACAGTCACACCTGGAGGAAGATTACTCTTGAGAAAAAACAGCGAGGGCAAAGATTTGAAAATGAAAGCGAGGTTGAGGGGTTAGGGGGGTAGAAAGAAAGCCGTTGTGGTTGAAAAGAGGAAAGAAAGAAGGGTTGGCCCTGGCCGGTTTGGTTCAGCGGTTGGAGCATCGGCCTGCAATCCAGAGAGACTGGGTTCGGTTCCCGCTAAGGACATGTACCTTGGTTGCAGTTTGTCCCCGGCCCTGGTTGGTCATGTGGGTGGCAGCCACTCGATGTGTCCCTTTCACGTCGATGTTTCTCTCTCTCTTTCTTCCTCTCTCTCCCTCCCACTCTATCTGAACAAAAAATGGAAAAATGTCCTCGGGTGAGGATATAAAGAAAGAAAGAAAGAAGGGTTGACGTCCATACAGTTGGAGAGTCTTGTGCCGAAAGTGTAAGAATTTGGATTTTATTCTAACAAAAAGAGGAAAGCACAATCGGATTTTGATGAGGGTTGTGCTGTCTGAAGCATTCCTCTGGCCGTCGGTGAAGAGCGGACTACAGCAGCGTGAGGACCGACCAGGGAGCCTAAACCTAGACCAGAGATGATGGTGGTTGCGCAATGGGGTGCGTGGTGCAGGTAGTGAAAGGGTCAGATTTGGGACACATTTTGGAGTTTGAATAGATTAGACTGGCTCAGTACTGGATTCAGAGTGTGAGTGGTTTAGAGTTCGGGAGGAAGCCGCAGATGCATCCCAGCAGCTGTGCATGTGTCCTTGAGATGAAACAAGCTGGGAGAAAAGCAGGAAACACGGAGAGCTCTGTTGGGGACCATTTACATGTGAGGTGTACATTAGACATCCTGGGGGACAGGCTGAAGCGGGAGTGTTTGCAATCAGGGTCAGGACAGAGGTCACGGGTGCAATGCAAATTTTGGGGTCAGCCAAAGAGAGATAACATTTAAAACCCTGGGACGAGTGAAGGGTTCCAAGCCATAACTGAGCCTGTACAATCAATACTTGGTTTTCATACGCTGGTGATACCGCTGACTTCACGAAACTTCCCTTGGAGCGGGATCTGTCATAAGCTCTTCCTTGCAGGAGGCCCTGGGCCACTTGGAAGAGAGCTGAGGGCAGCAGCTGAAAGGCAATAGCTTTGGTGTCGACAGTCTTCACTCGAGTGCCAACAAGTATCTTAAGCTCTCTGAGCCTCGAGTTCCTCCCCTATAAAGTGGGCATAATGACACTTATTTCATAGGTCTTATTGTGGGGAGACTATAGAAAAAATTTTAATGTGTAGCCCAGTGTTTGAGACTCAGTAATAGGTCAATAAATTATTGATAGTACTGTTACATATTAGCACATTTCATCAAGTCTAAGATGTAGTTTTTCACGCATATTTCCTTTCTGAAATAGAGATGTACCTTTTGATGATTTTTTTTTTAATCCTCACTAGAGGATATTTTTTTATTTTTTGTTCAGGTAGAGTGGGAGGGAGAGAGAGGGAGAGAAACATCGACGTGAAAGGGACACATCGAGTGGCTGCCACCTGCGTGACCAACCAGGGCTGGGGACAAACTGTAACCAAGGTATGTGCCCTTAGCGGGAACTGAACCCGGGTCTCTCTGGACCACAGGCTGATGCTCTAACCGCTGAGCCAAACCGGCCAGGGCAACATTGATAAAATCTTAAATGTGATGAGTACAGAGTGGATTTCCTACCATTATTTATCTCTCACCTTCCATAGGCCCTAAATAAGTCATGCATTCTTCCTATAATTCTGTAATTCAATCAACTACTGGGTCATTTTTTTAAAAATCCCTTGGCCAGCAAAAGATGGATTGGATTTGGCAACTATGAGTAGCCTAGCCATTCAGTCCCAAGCTTGGATTCTGGAGCAGAGTCCTGGAGAAATATAAAAGAGGCTCCCCACTCCAACACATGCCTCCATGGATCCAAAAGAGCTGTCTGATATGTGGAGGACTGTTCCGAGTAGGAATCTGGACATCTGCAGACCAGTACAGGTCCTTTGGACAAATCTTTGATCTCCTTCGGCATCAGTTTTATCATTAGCCCCTGATCACAGAGACGTCCTGAGCATCCATCATATGAAATCATGTACAGATGCTCCTCGACTTACGATGAGGTTATGTCCCAATAAACCCATCATGACTTGAAAATATCTTAAATAGCACTTAATCTACTGAACACCGTAGCTTAACCTGGCCAGTTTCTACTGAATGAATATGGCTTTCTCACCATAGTAAAAAAAAAAAAAAATTGTAAGTCAAACCATCACAGGTTCAGGACCATCTGGATCGTAAAGTGTTTTAGAAAGGGCTACAAAAATTTAATACAGTCCCTCGTTTATCGAGGTTAATCCGTTCCAGACTCTAGGGTTGCACCTGGTGTTGAAGGATTCCTGGGGTGCTTGAATACATAGGCCTACAGTCCATACATACAGTAATTTTAATTTTAACTGTAATACAGGGATGTATAATTGACTCACAACCGCGCACACGCTGTATCATTTTCACTGTCTCGATCAACTTTTTAATGAATATATTTGAGAGAACCGCAATAGAGTGAAGCCACAGAAGTCGAAGCGCGAAGTGGCGAGGGATGACTGTATTGCAGTTGTATGGTTTCAGGAATTGGAAGATACCCCTTTTGTTGGTCTTTCATGGAACCTGGACACCCTAACAGTGAGGATTATTCCCCAAATGGATTTTGAGTTGAGTGGATGTAGAATTGGCTGTGTAGGGAATCAGCAGGGTAGGCTGTACCTCCTAAATACAGTTACCCACTGGGGTCTGTCAGCCGTTTTTGACAATAGAAAGGTATAAATAATGAATACAATAGGCCCCCTTTATTGGTGAAGGATACGTTCCAAGGCCCCCAGTGGTGCCTGAAATCACTGGTAGTACTAAATCCTATACACACTATTTTTTCCTACACATAAATAACTAAATTTACAAATCAGGCACTATAAGAGTAACAACAGTAGCTAATAATAAAATAGAACAATTATAATATACTGTAATAAAAGTTATGTGAATGGCGTTGGGGCCGGTAAGTAAAACATGGGTTACTCGGACAAGGACAGCACACCACGACGGTTGCTCTAACTCAGACCAGTATTAATTGGCTGATGGGCAAGTCACATGTACAGTGTGGATATGCTGACAAAGGGGTGATTCTCCTTCGGGCAGAATGGCGTGAGGAAGTGTGACATTTAACCACACTACTCATAATGGCACACAGTTTAAAATTCATTCATCGTTACCCTGGGTGGTTTGGCTCAGCAGTTAGAGCGTCAACCTGTGGACCAGAGTCACGGGTTCAATTCCGTTCAAGGGCATGCACCTTGGATGCAATTCAGTCCCGGCCTGGGTCAGGGTTGTGTAGGAGGCAACCAGTCAATGTGTCCCTCTCACTTCAATGTTTCCCTCTCTCTCTCCCTCCTTCCCCCCTCCACTCTGTCTTAAAATAAATGGAAAAATATCCTTGGGTGGGGATTTAAAAAACAAAATAAAATGCATTCACTGTTGATTTCTCACATTTTCCATTTATTTGCAGACTAGGGTTGACTGCGGGTAACTGAAACCATGCAGAGCAAAACCTCAGATAAGGAGGAACTACTGTACAGTCACTGATAAGAAACAGTATTCTCTGAATTTTAGTGCTGTTATCTATAAAATAGAAATAAAAACATACCTGCCTCATGGGGGTGTTACGAAAACAAATGAGATAACGCGCATAAAGCTGACACATATCAAATGTTCTATAAATGTTTGCTGATGGTGATGGTGACAGCGATGGAGGAGGAGGAGGAGGGAGAGACGGGAGGAGAACAACAACGAAGCATTTCGAAAGATAAAGGTGGCGGCAAAAACTCCAGTCAAGGTGCAAAGTGAAGGCGCAGAGTGACTTTAAAATTTAAGAAATAGGATGAGTGGAACATGAAATAGCAGAGTAGACATCCCAGAGCCAGCCTCACCTATGTCCACTCTGCCGTGGGTCAGGGAACCCTCCAGAGAGAGAACCTTTCTCGTAGAGAAGAGAATCACCTTTGGTTTGCTTTCACCAGGGGAGAGAGAAGGTTCTCATCCGGGAAAGACCCACCGTTGTTAGAGCATCCTCCTCATCCTCAAATATTCACTGAGCATCATCTAAATGCCTGGCTCTGAGACATGGATCCTGCCCTCGACTTTCGAGAGGTGGTTTTTCTTCTCCAGGCAATTCTAGGGAAGGTGCCTGAGGAACCACACATTTAAACCTAGAATATGGAGCCTCTAGGCTCCCCCTGCTGGTCACTGATATCCGACCAGCCCTGAACTATCAGAAATAATTTTTAAATGCATAATATGTAGGAGTACAGCACTTCCTTAAGTGAATTTTTTTAAATGAAAGATTACTTTAGCAATCTCCCCTCCCCCAAAAAAACACATTCCTAGAGCGATGGAGATAAACCTGTCACAGATCTGATATATGGTTCTTGCTTCTTTAGAAAAATCATAGAAGGGAACCAGGACAGTGGCCCAGCCCTGGCCAGAACACCTGCCACACATACAAGTCACTAGTTCCAAGAACTCAGCAGCCTCCCACTCACCGGGATGAGTGTTTTAATCATGGCAAACAAGTGGTTTCTATTAAGGGAACTTGACTCATTTTTATTAACTTTTGTCTTATAAAAGTCACATAGCCTGATTCACAACACACACACACACACACACACTATAAAGTAATAAAAGTTAAACCATTCCTTCACAACCCCCTTGCCCAAAAATAATCATTATATTGACTTTCATTGTCTTTTTATATGGTTTTGATCAAAATAACCTTCTCACATACTTAATGTGCAGCCTTTTTTTTTTCTCTCTCTCTCTTTTTTTTTAACCCAGCAGCATATTGTGAACTGCTTTTTAACCAATAAACATGCTTCTACAGTACTATGTTCATGACTGGAGAGCATTCTATACTATGAATTCCCACCTTTGTTAACTATGATTCTCAGCCAGCAGCATTTTGTCCACCCTAGGAGACATATTGTAATGACCCAGCTGGTAGCTACTGGCATTTAGTGGGCAAGAACCAGGCTGAAAAATATACGATGGTACACACTGAGGAAATGTCCAGCTCCAAATTCAGTAACAACATCTCAACTGAGATACATTAAACCAGTCCGATGGGTTGGGATAGTCTGCCCACTTCCCATCTGGAGGCAGGCTATTTTCAATAACAACAATAAATATTCTTATCCATGCTTGGTGCTCATCTGTTTCCTAAGGTCACTTTCAGAATGGGCATGACTTGGTCAAAGATTATGCACACTTGAAACTTTTGATACATTTTGCCAAATGTTTCCCAGAAAAGTTTAATCAATCTACTCTCTGCCAAGGGAAGTGTACTTCAACTTGCTATTAAGCAACATTGTTCAGTGCAAGAAACAGGAATTGAACTGAGAATCTGGCAAGTCACTTAATTTCTTAGAGTCAAGTTCTTCATCTCTAAAATGGAAACAACACCTCTAACTACCTACAGGCTCCTGTAGAGGCCAAATAAGATAATATGTAAAAAGGCTGTTCAAGCATAAGGGACTATTTTTAATAGCAATCATGTCAGAAGAGCTTCCCCATGTGGATGGAAAGGAAAGGGAGCACCAAGTACCGCCAGGGCCAGGCAGGGACCTGAGTGATGAGGGCAGGGGTACAGGTCCCAGCATTGGGGATACTTTAGGGAGGGGTGAGAATCGACACCTGGCGCGACCCCATCTAATCTAAAGGCAGCAGATGATATGCAGTTTCAAATACCTTTTTCTCTTTAAAAAATAAAGAGCAAATGTGGACAGATATTCCAATTTCTCAACAGCAGCCACAACCTTCTAGAAATTGTGTGATCACTCCGAAGACCAGACAGCCCACATCTACAGACCATATCGGGTGCAGGGCCGTACTTGGTCAACCTCTGTTCATCGCACCTGGACTCTCCCCAATCAAACATCTGCTCCTTTTGCAGAAACGGGCGTCTCTTAGGGGTTTGTGCCAGCGTGGACAACTGCCGGTTGTTTGTTGGGGGAATTCCAAAAACCAAAAAGAGAGAAGAAATCTTATCGGAAATGAAGAAGGTGACTGAAGGCGTTATCGACGTCATTGTCTACCCAAGTGCTGCAGATAAAACCAAAAACCGAGGCTTCGCCTTTGTGGAATACCAGAGTCATCGGGCAGCTGCCATGGCCCGGAGGAAGCTCCTCCCAGGTTAGCCCCCCACCCCCAGCCCCACCCCCATCACACCCGGTCTCCCCTCTCCACCCTGCCTGCCTCCGGCTGCTGTGCTCCTCAGCGAAGGAAGCAAATGTTTGCTGTGCGGGGGGGCCTTTGTTTGGGGGTTTTTTGTTTGTTTGTTTTCTCTATATCTATGGTTATGTTACGTTTTAAACCCTTTATCCTTCTCATTTATCTCAGAATAAATCAAGTTCCCTGAGGTTTTCCCAGACAAGGTTCTGAAAAATGTTCATTCTGTGCATTAAGTCTAATTTACATGCACTGGAGAAATTTAGGACTTTAAGCTCTACAATCCTATCATGAATCCCTAAAGTAAAGAATTTTCTTAAAATAAAATAAAATATATCAATCAACAGTTATTTTTATAAGGAGATTCTGTTATCCGTTTATTAGAAATAGGGTGTGTTATCCATTACAATGTAGAAATAATAAATATTCAAAAGATACATTATCCCAATGACAATTCAGTGGTATTTTATTAGGACTCCCTGGTGTCTAACTATTTCTGCATAACTTGGGAGAACAGCCCTCTGTAGAAAGGCCCCTTTGTTAGATGCTACAACCACAGGGCAGGTCCCAGGCGGCCGGAACCTATCATTTCCTCAATTTAAAGCCTCCACACCAAGACTGCCTCAGTTGGAGAAACGTAGGGAAAATTGTTGCAAGTCTTCTTTCTAAACTATTTGCTAAAATTTACACAAAGTAAGGTATTAAAATGAATAAATACTAAAATAAGAGGATTTCCATCGTAACAGACTGGACCCCTCGAAATCAACCCTTCTCGTGAATATTTGGAGAGCCACCAGAATTGAAAATGACACAACGAAAACACCAGAATTAGGTTGCCCTTGTACACATTCTCAAAGACAAAACAAACCAATAGCAGGATTAGCCCGCTAGGGATTTTCAACATTGGAAAATGGCTTCTGAGCTTGGGGAAGATATTTTAAATAATATTTTCATAAAGGCCGTTTAAAGTGGGGAAAAATAATGAGACAGCCCCCTTCGCCCACAACTGCTAAATCTGTTAGAGAGGGACATACGTTTAATGCTGACGCTTCCATTCACTATCTGCTCACTACCCAGTGGTCCAGTCACCTGACTCACAGCTACGCAGAATCACTAAAGCTCCTCCTGGGGCATGTCTGACCTTCCTACTCACTTCAAGTCTTCTCTCTTCTTCGAAGCCAACCATTCTGCCACTGGAAAGTCCCTCATACCCATTCTGTCCTCAAGGACATCATCACCGTCTCACACAGACAGCCCTCACACACACCCCTCAGATACTTTTTTCAAGGTCTCCTAATTATTCCCCCAGTTCTGCTCTCTCCAGGAGGCCCGCCAGCCTTTGTCTACTCCATCCTCGACGCTGCTTCAAGATGAGTGTTCCCACAATGTCATGTCTTCCTTTCAACAAGCTCTTGCAAATAGTAGGGATTCGGTCTCCATCTGTTGATAGGTTAAATGGTGTCACTCACTCATCAGTTCAAAAATGTTTGCTGACTCCTTGCTGCATATGAGAGAAACAGTCCAGTAAACCTGGGAGCCTACCCTTCGAGGCTTCCCTTCATGGCCCTGGTCCCTTACAATCTTATTTTCTACCTTCTGTTTCCCAATAAAAACTCTCTGCTCTCAGGACAAACCCGTCAACGTCCCACACAGCACCAGGCTAATTTTTGTCTCCTTTTCCCCCTCTGCTGACTAATGATGCTCAAAGCCCCGGCTCAGCCACCACCTTCCTTGAGAAACCAACCGGCTGCCACTGTTCCGCCCACATTGATCACTCGCTTCCTTTATTATCTGCAAAAGGAGACAAGTGCAATGATTCTGGGGTTGGGGGAGGTTGGCAGTGAATGAGAGTCCAGAATGGGAGAAAGTTTTCACAGGCCAGACAACACTGTTCCTAGAGAATCCGAACTTTTCATCAGCTTCCCCTCTCTCCAAACACACAGCACGTGGACGCAGACACAGCTGCTGCCGGTACCTGAGTTGAGCTGACCGGGCTGGGCAGCACCGAGCAGCGGGGCTTCAGAAGTTCTCACGCCCTTGCTTATGCTTCCTCAAGGTCCTGACTTTTCCGTCTGGATTCTCTGTCCAGGATCCAGGAATATGTCCTCTCCCCACCCACTCCCCATCTTCATCATGATGGAGGCAGCACCCCTTGCCCAGGGCCCTTTAAATCGACCTCAGCTGAGTCGAGCTTCGTTCAGCTGGATGTGGGTCAGACGCCTGGTCGGCGGGTTAACGAGAGGAGGCCAGTGGTGAATCCGTCAGCCTCGGCTATCGGTGTCATTTCCACTGAGGCCTGAGAGTAAAATCTATTATCCATTTGGACACTCTACCTATTACTCCATCTTAAACTCAACAACCACAAAGGATTTCTAGGCAGCCTCGTTGTAAAGAATAAAGAGATCCTTAAGAAACATGATAAGTGAGGCTTTTCCTTCTCACTTGATCCAAATATGGAGACAGAAGACTGTTGTCTAAAGTGATGTATTGGCTCCCCAACCACCTACCTCCTGTTAACAGTGGCAGCTCTCATCAATAAAATGCATCTTTGCTGAGATATTCATGAAACAAAGTTGTTCCATCCTACTTGGAGGTCACCAAAGAATACTGCGCTGCTCAGGAAGTTCTAACAGTGCTTGGCCTGCACCAGAATCACCTGGAGGGCTTCTCAAAGCACATTGCTGAGCCCCGGCACCAGCATTCCTGGTTCAGTAGGTCTCGTGTGCAGTCTGATGCTCTGCATTTATAACAAGTCCCCAGGCGTCTACTGCCCCTGAGGCTACACATCTAAAGAAATAATTGTCCATCGGAGCTGCAAATTTGCAATGCCCAAGGTGGTTTTTAAATAATACCAGTACCCAAATCAAACTCTAATCAACTGAATCTGCTTCTCTTAGGTACAGAGCTGGGTTATTGGTGTTTTAAGTTTTCCAGATGATTCTGTCGTGCAGCCATATCTGTTGATCCATTCCTAAATCTATTAGCTAATAACACTGGACATTCACCTGCATTGGGAAGTAAATAGGACGACTTAGGGACCACTCAGTATGGAACATTTATTAAGCATCTATAACATGCCTTGCTCTCTTCTAAATGTCATGGGAGCCCTGGCCAATGTGGCTCAGTTGGTTGAGCGTCATCCCATGCACTGAGAGGTCACCAGTTCAATTCCCAGTCAGGGCACATGCCCAGTTGCGAGCTGGATCCCCAGTAGGGGACGTGCAGGAGGCAGCCAATGTTTCTCTCTCATCAATGTTTCTCTCACTCTCTCTCTTTCCCTCTAAAATCAATAAAAACATTTAAAAAATTATACCCAATCACTGTACTCAGAGTACATATTTTGAGGAAATTATAAATACATGAAAATAAACCCCCCCAAAAATCGAGAATACATTATTGAATTATTGTTTACAAATGAAAAATTAAATTTTTTTTATGCATCACCTTCTTTCATTGTCTTCCCAACAGCCCTAATTAAGAGGTACCTTTATGATTCCAGTTTCACAGATGGGGAAATTGATGCTTTGAAAGATCATGTTTCCACCCTGGCCATTTTGGCCCAGTGCTTAGAGCATGGCCCACAGAGACCCAAGGTCTCGGGTTTGATTCCTGGTCAAGGGCACATACCTGGGTTGCCCTGGCCCTGGTTAGATTGTGCAGAAGCAACCAATCGATCTCTCTCTCTCTCTCTCTCTCTCTCTCTCTCTCTCTCTCTCTCTCCCTTCCTCCCTTCCACTCTATCCAAAAAATCAATGAAAAAATATCCTCCGTTAAGGATTAACAAAAGAAAAAAGAAAGGTTATGTTTCCTAGCCAGGATCACTGATCTGATCTTTGAACTTGTCTGATGTCAAAGCCTATGTTCCCACATCACTCCGTAGCACTGACTTGCACAGGAATGTTCATGGAGATCACTGCTTCCCATGCCCCTCTCCCATCTGTCCATTTTAGCCTTTTGCAAATCTTCAGACACACGGACGACTTAAGGCTGGGAAGGCAAAAGCCAGTGTACGAAACAGTGGTTCTCAACCTCGGTTGCATGTTAGAATGAAGTGCTTATAGGAGTCCTGAGGCCCAGACCACTTATACTAGAACAGGGAAGGAGAGTCCAGGGTTGGCGATGAGCTGGTAAATCATTAACAACCAACTCCCAAGAGAATATCAAAAGCCCTGATGTGTAGCATTTGCCAATTTCTATGGTATTAACACTCCCGCTGTGGCTGATTTCTAGCTACCAAGGTGATATCAACTGGCTCACACAATTCTGAAAATTTAACAGTCTATTCTTACAAGTGTATAGGATCTGGGTCCAGCACACCACTGAACGGCAACCAGGTTTCAGTATTTTTTTAAAGCTCTTCCGATGTGGGGCCAAGGCTGAAAACCACTGGGCTACGGAAACCTGAGCCCCCTGGGAGCCGTAGGGATCCTGTGACAAGACAAAGAGCAACATCTATGTAAAGCCTGTGAGCGGAAGAGAAGGAAAGCACTAGGAATGGAAGGCAAAGGAAGGGAAGGAGAGGAAGGGGACAGGAGGGGAGGGGAGGAAGAAAGTAATGAAAAAAACTATCCTATGAGAAGCAATGCAGAACAAGGTACCTAGCCAGCTGGGGCAGCAAGAGCCAGGGTCTCTTGGATCAGCTAATTCATTAGGATAAATCTATTCTTTGGCTTTTAGAATGTCAATGCCTTTCTGGCCAGTTTGGTTCAGGGGTTAAAGCGTCAGCTGAAGATCAAAGAATCGAGGGTTCAGTTTTGGTCAAGGGCACGTGCCTCAGTTTTGGTTCATCCTCAGTTCTGGTTGGGGTCGTGTGGGAGGCAACCAATCAATGTATCTCTCTCACATCGATGTTTCTCTCTCTCTCCCTCCCTCCCACTCTATCTGAAGATAAACAGAAACATATCCCCAGGTGAGGATTTTTTAAAAATAAAATAGCCCTGGCCGGTTTGGCTCAGCGGTTAGAGCGTCGGCCTGCGGTCCTGAGAGACCCGGGTTCGGTTCCCGCTAAGGGTGTGTACCTCGGTTGCAGTTTGTCCCCGGCCCTGGTCGGTTGTGCGGGTGGCAACCACTCGATGTGTCCCTTTCACATCGATGTTTCTCTCTCTCTGTTCCTCTCTCTCCCTCCCACTCTACCTGAACAAATAATGGAAAAATGTCCTCGGGTGAGGATTAAAAAAAAATAATAATAAAAAAAAATAATAATAAAATAAATAGAATGTCAATGCCACAGATGCTTTCACTGACTACTTTTCAAAAAATAAAAAGATGCAATTTGATTGAAAATAATTGCCTCCCATGTGTAATAATTAAACAACTAAACCCTTACCAACACTGAGAAGTTCTGATTTTGTTCCCTCAAGCTTTTTATTGCTTCCCGGGTATAACTTGTTCCGTCACAACTAATATAAAGCACACAAGATTTTCGATCACATTTGAAATTGAGCTGGCCCTCACCCTCCTCTCGTCGCTTCAGCATGGATCTGTGCTGCACAGGGGTCCAGGGGCTGACTGAGAAGTCACAGGAGCAGGGAGAAGTGTAACCTATCCTCTCGAAAGCTCATTTCCTCTTCTGTAAAATTGAGAAAGTCGTTCCCCTCCCCACGGAGTCACTGTGAGAAGGGACCGAGAGGCATATGGAAAACACACACTCAATAAACTGCAGTTTATAGGAATACAAACATATATGTAGTCATGGATAACAACTAACCTTTTGAGAAGAGTTCAGTTTCTCATTGTAGACTCTTCTATTGTTCTTTGTCTTCTTAATGTGGATAAAAAATTATTTTTCCCCAGATTCCCAGGCTGTCTGTGTTCTGAAAGAAAGAGAACTAGGAAGGAAGACAGTGTGTTGGAGCCCTGACCAAGTGAAATAGACAGAGAACAAACTGGGGGTTCTTGAGCCCTACCGACCCATGGCCATGCTCCAGATTTTGGACAACTTGGTGGTGGCCACACAGAGTCCAACAGCAGCAGAAATACTTCCAAGTGACCTTTCTAATGTTGCGTGAAGTCAGATTTGATGTCTGAGCCCTAAATTCTTTTCCTTTCTCCCCCTTTGCCATATCACCTCCAATGGCTACCTTCACCACGTGGGAGCTATTCTAGGACTCAAACACGCCCACTGATGCCTCATTTATGTTTCATTTCAACCCGTATCCTGGTTCCCTTTCTATTCAGTCACTAGAATAAGCCACTTAGTATGCAGAACTCCCTTCTAGCCAGCACCTGCATTTATTTGGAATTTCTAACATCAATAATCACATCTTTTCATATTGCTCTTCCTGTTCCATCAAGCCCTCAAGGGTCAGTTCAATTTCAAAGGCCATCAGTCTGAATTGAGATAATGTTGTCCTGATTTCTATATAGTTTATTATATTTGTGGTCCTTTTCAACAGGAAGAATTCAATTATGGGGACACCCTATTGCAGTGGACTGGGCAGAGCCAGAAGTAGAAGTTGATGAAGACACAATGTCTTCAGTGAAAATCCTCTATGTAAGAAACCTAATGCTGTCCACCTCTGAAGAGATGATTGAAAAAGAATTCAACAATATTAAACCAGGTAAGACATACCGTAGATTACTTTTTCAAAAGAGACTTTAAAAACACTATGCTTATGATGACCTCCATAACTTTAAATAGGATAACTTTCATTTATCATTCTCAGAATAGCACGCAGACTACTAAAACCTATTCCTCCCTTTAGAATAGAAAATAGGGACATATGATCCTATAACATTTCTCAATATTATAATTTTACATCTACTTGTGTGTTTACTTAATGAAGACATAGTTCCTTCACTAAACTATATATTCCATGAGTTCTTTTTGCTCTTATTGTCTCTTCGGCCCCTGTCTCTGTCCCTGGGACACAGATGCTCAATAATATGTACTGAATGAATACATGGACATACTTATAGAGTAATGCAGAGTTTCTCATCCTCAGTACTCTTGACATTTGGGGCCAGGTAATTTTTGGTTGTGGAAGTCTGTCCTGTGCATCCCAGCATATTTAGCAGCATCCCTGTCCTTTACCTACTAGATGCCAGTAGCAACCCCCAAGATGTAATAAGCCAAACTACTTCCAGACATTACCAACTGTACCTTAGGTACATAAGTAAGTAGGTGACAATTAATTCTAGAAAACGCACGTGTGCAAAGAGGTAGGAAAAGGAACAGAGGGAAGGTGGAGGGTGATAATTACTTGCTACTCATCTTATCAATACTTTTCAGTATCAAACTTAAGTTATGAGATTGACTCCCTATCTCTTTTTTCTCATATAAGAACCACAAGACTGAGACAGGTAACGCATTTCAAGAAACAATGTCCAAACAAGCATTTCCCACAGTCAGGTCTGTAGAACATTAATTCTACAAATTGTTAGCAGATGTTACTGATTAAAGGGGTTCATAGTAAAATAAGTTTGTAAATACCAGATTTAGCTAAATTAAACAGATAGTTTTTATTGTGAGACTTCTCAAAGTCCTTAACCTTACAATGGGCTTTGAATATCTCTGAAAGAAGAGATGAAGGATGCTGGATTTCCCAAATATTTGGACCATGGATCCCATTTTTGGTAGACCATCTTGTGGGATCAGTGTGTCTTGAACACATTCCAGTCTAAGTTTATCCCTGTGGTAACACTGTTCCATAAATGAGAATATTTCTGTCTCCAGCAGTAACTCTTTGGTGGTTGATCAACATGGGCCACAATGCCATCATGTCAAAACTACCTAAGAATATTCATTTCACATAGTTATGTTGCCTGTTTTCAACTCTAGGTGCTGTGTCAGGTAAAACAGAATAAGCTGATTTGTTCTAAAAGTAATTAGTAAGTTGCCCGACTGGTGTGGCTCAGTGGTTGAGCATTGACCTATGCACCAAGAGGTCGCTGCTTTGATTCCTGGGCAGGGCACATGCCCAGTTTGTGGGCCAAATTCCAAGTGGGGGCATGCAGGAGGCAGCCAATCGATGTTCTCTCTCCCTCTCCCTTCCTCTCTTTCTAAAATCAATTTTTAAAAAAATTTTAAAAAATAAACAAATAAAATAAAAGTGATTAGTAAGGATGTAATCTCTCCCTTTTTAAAGATTCACCAGAGCTTTGTCTATTTTCAGCTTTCGGGAACGCTGTCTTCCCTGCCATTGTAGTATATGGTGCGGCTCTTTACTGCTAGCTACACCTAGGCAGAGACGCCAGTGACTGTCTGCCTCACTGTGTGCCAGGCATTGCAGTGGGCACTTCCACAGCTCACGTCGTGTGTTCATCACAGTACCCCTGGGGAGTAGGTTACTTTATTACTTAATTATTTCCTGGATTAGAAAACTAGGACCAAGAGCAATTAAGTACCTTGCCCAGGATCATGCAGCTAGCAAATGGCAAATACTGGATTTGAATCCAGGTCTGGTTAGGACTTTCTCTTAACACAGGGAGCCCTATCCCCACCCTCACTCCCTTTACTCACTCATTCAGTCAGCTGCCATTGCTTCCGTAGCTCCCCTGTGCCAGGCACTGTGGGAGGAGCTAACAAGTGTGATGTGTGTGGAAGGAGTTGAAAATGTCCCAGAAGAATAACAGAAATTTTAGAAGTGATGTGTAAGCTGAGATCTGAAAGTCGGTGCAGCTGTGGGCATAGGAGATGACATTGTGTGCACACATAATACTTCTTCACCCTCTACTTTGTGTTGACTTTCCACCTTCCCAGAGTACATAATACTTCTTAGTTTTATCTACTTAAAACATTACCTTTCTTTGGAAAGGACTGGAATGAGAAAGTACTAAAAGGC